ATAGTGATCCCATGGATTGTATATGGTTTTAATAGGAAAGGAATACTCAGAGGTGCTGTTTATCAATTTCTTCCTCTATATTATAACCTACAGCACCTGGTATTCATTGGCAGTGTCCCATCTAAGTACTAAGTAGGGATCACTATGCTCAGTTTTCAAGATCAGATAGATTTCATGCCTTATGGTTAAAACAGGAAGACTCCAAGGCTCTTTCTACACTGCCATATAATCCAGATTATCAAAGGGGATAATCCACATTATCTGTTTTGAACTAGATTGTATGAGTCTACATTGCCATATAATCCAGTTCAAAGCAGTATAGAAGGGGCCCAAGTTGAGATCCTTGCTTTATCATCTGGGCCATTTACTACCTTTCATCATCCTTATTGTGGGAATAAATTGTGGGGGATACATGTAATACATCTATGTACATTTCTGTTACCATAAAGATTATTAATTAAAAATAGAAAAATATTGGTAAAATGTCAAAAATACAGTACTCGAGTACTAGAAAACCATGACCAAAAGAGTCTTAGGCTAGATTTCCGCTGCATTGAACTAGATTATACAAGTCTACATTCAATATAACCCAGTTCAATGCAGTTAACCTACATTCTGAAACTGGATTATATAGCAGGGTAGATCCAGCCTTTGATGAGAATCTTCAGAGTGATGACTGATTCTGCACAAAATTCATATGTAGGGTTTTCTTTTTCTTTTTTCTTTTTTTGCACAGAAAACAGCATTGTGTGTATAAGAAGAGCAAATTTTGCACAGAAGTCCCTAATTGTATTTTGTACAGAAAACACAATTTTCTGTTTTTCCTGGCACAAAAAAACCCTGCTTCTTGAGCAAGCCAGCATGTGAATTCTGCATGAAATAAGCCTAAATTACAAATAGTCTTCATAAACTGTACTGTTTTAGAAGACTTTAACAGCCAGAAGAAAATTGTTCATATTATAGTTTGACTCCTTTTGTAATAAAATTAGCAAAGAATTATATCCTTATTAATAAAACTAAGGATAAGAACAATGACATTTAGGACATAGGGGCACTTGCTATCAGTTTTTTTCCATATTGATAGCCAAAATTGTACATATTTATAAGAACAGGGAACTCTGCAAGTGACCCATTGGCACCTGATTCACAGGAGAAAATGTAAAGATAGGATGGACCATAGGAATCATAGGGAGAAGCAAGGTAATTTCCTTTAGGGATGTCAACTAAATGTTTTCACTAGAAAAGGTTCTAGTTTAACTTTATTTGTCCTATTTTTATCTTTCATCACACTTCAAATAATTATCTCATTACCTAGCGTACATGTGCTGCTTGTTGGGGTTCAGCCTGATCCTGATCTGTGTGAACAGGATTCTCTGATAGTTTTTCAAACTGAGCAAGCT